CTTGCTTATGGTGTATTTTTATACCTCCAAGCAGTTGGTCTTAGGCATGAGGCTGGTTTCACTGAAGATGAGACTCCTGGCCAGTGCCTATGTCCCCTGTGTCCCCTGTTCCCCAGCCTGGGTGATTTCCCCTAGGAGGCCTCATCTTGAGTTGAGTGGGTGATTTCCCCTAGGAGGCCTCATCTTGAGTTGAGTGTTCCGTGTTCTCCCAGCCCCAGTGTCCCAGCAACTCCATTATAGCCTCAAATGTTTGTTGAATGAATAAATGCATTAGCCACTTGATATTAATTGTATCATCATTATCATTATCTTTTAAAAATAAATTTTATTCTTTCAGTCTCAGTAGCACTATTTGAGCCTCTGCTAAATGCGGAGTCATACACTGTTTTGTTTAAAGAGTGAACTTTAGTTTTTACACCAGAATTCCTTTCTTAGAGTGTGGAGGGATCCAGAACCCGAGAATGCCTGAGAAAAATAAGAAAGTTTAAGTATCAGTGATGGAAATATGTTTAAACTCATTAAAAAATATATAATAACATTTCCATCATATGTGGCCAATTCAGATTTGTAATTTTGCAGACCGTTTAAGCCATGATTGGATGTGTTGAAAGCTTGTGTTTCATCTTCCTAATCTTGATTAGCAGGCCAGTTCTTTATCAGGTGTGTCCTCTCTGAGACCTCTCTGGCTCTTCTTTATTACCCCCTGCCCCAACTGATTTACTGGGAGTACAGCTCTTCAGAAACAGCTCATCACGAGTTCAGTTGGTGGCATCTCTTCCTTTGTTTGTATGTGAATAAATTCAGATAAGTAGATGCATGTTTGTCTGTAAATAAATGTTTATCCACAGATGTCCTGTATTGCAAAGTGCTGTGCGCTTGTGGAGACGGCATGTGTTGGAGGCACTGCACATGGCTAAGCTGATGCTGCTTACTCGTGTGCTCTACCTTGCTTACAGGCTCAGACTTCAGGAGTATAATGAAGACAGAGATATGATAAAGAAGACAGCTTTCCAAGCCGGAAAACGCTGATGAACCTTGGAAGAAAAGCACACTTGAGATAGAAACTTTCTTCCTTACTTTCTTATTTTCTTCTGTGATGTGCAGAATAGCAGGGGAATGGCTCCTGTTTCGTCCACATGAGCTCACCTTTGAATAAATTTGAGTCCTGCCCATTCTACAGTTTTGTGCAAGATAACATACTTGTGTATTTTCTAATTTATGTGTTGTGAACAGTGGCGTTAAGGATAAAAAGGAGGGTTTGTTTTGTTGTTTTTTGTTTTCTCTTTAATATAAAACACATGTACCTTGGATCATTTCTATTATTTGAATATCAGTCAGTAGTTTGAAGTTCTAAAAGTTTGTGACCTGATTCTTACATATTTCATAGTGTGTCAAAAGGCATATGAAATTATGAAGGAACTATGTCATAGAAAGTCCTATAGGGCACATGTAAAAATATGTTTGGCATTTAAAATTCCTCACATTTGCTTTAATAAATGAGAGGTTTTAGGAATGCCCTATATGGTAATATCAGATGTTGATGGCATTGATTACCTGTCAGGCAGGGGGAATTGATGGGGAAATGTTCGTTGTAAAATTAAATAGCATTAGGGAAGACTGTGCCATGCATCTGGTGGGGTAGTAGGGAATGCTGGGCCTGGAGACTTTGTCACGGTATTACTGGGAGCTCCAGGTTTTTTTTTTCCCTACACGATTAAGGCAGACCATCTGTTCTTTGTTAAATGTTTACAAAAACAGCTTTTCTCTAAAAGATTTAAGGAGATATAGGTCTGGTAAACATTATAATATTTCTGAGCACCTTTTCACCTTTCACATAGTACCAAAACATAATTCTGCTGCGTCTCAAACAAGATTTATACTTTCATGTATTTAGTCTTTACTTTTTTCCCTCTCCTTATGGAAGATTAAACTTTTTACTGGGTTACTAATTTATAGCCTCATTTCTATTCAAAAAAAGCATCTAAAATGATTTGTGAGGTGGTATGTAGATAAATTTTCATCTGTCTCTGTTGTATGTTGCATGTTTTTTCTAATTCATAAATGCGTGCTGGGGAATCTCTCACCAGAAGCTGGTATTGTGTTACTAGAGTTGATGCCATGCAGGTTAAAGGTAGGTACATCTACCCCTTACTAATTCACTCTTCTCAACTGGAGTCCAAACTTTCTACTTTTCCTTCAAAGAACAACTTTTCTTCCATTAAAAAAAACCAGTCTCACAAAAAAGTTTGATTTCTATGCCCTGTGCTTCAGGAAAGATATGTCTTTTCCCTTTCAATTACATTAGGAAATATGTAATTGATCTTATGGTATTTACATGTAGGAAAAGTTTAAATCAGATCCCACTAAAATTTAGGTGATGGTTAAGCCTGAGGTCACTTGGGTTCCAGATTGTGTATGAGGAACAGTAGAGGGGTAGCAATGACTTGTGTTTGGTTAGTTCAGTGTTGGTTTCACATGTTTCCTTCCCAGAAAGATGCCTGTGAGTAAGGTTTTAGGAGGAGCAGAATGGAGTCACAGGCATGTGTACTGAATTTAGCAAAACCTAGGTTCACAGTTCACCGCCATCCTTTGTGTGGTCTTGGGTGACCGTATTGTGTCCTGGAACTCACACTTCCGGTCTGAAAGATGGTGAATAACTACATTTTTGTTACTTCGGTAGGGCAGCTGCTCCTGTCAGTGAACCTCTGTGTGCTGTCCCTCAAACTTTTTCCTTCTTTCTGTCTCTTCTTTTTCTTGTTTTAGGTTCTTTCCCCCTTGACTGTGATCAAGAAAGGACAATTATGTATTCTAAGATTGGTTTTAATACCACTGTATGTGTATATATAATGTTTGCTAAACAATTTTTATTTGTGGTGATAGGGATCAAACCCAGGGCCTTGTGTGTGCTAGGCAAGTGCTGTACCTCTAAGGGAAATGCCTGGTTGTTACCAGATACTGGAATAAACTTTAGCAACTAATGCAAACCCTTCATTTTATGGCTGAAAAGCTGAACCCTGGATGAGTGAAATGACTTCTCCAGATAACAGAGCTGGTTGTGAAACCTGGGCTGGATCGGCATCTTTCAGCTTGGGGTGTGCAGCATTTCTTCTGTGTGGCTAGAGAATAGAATGAAGTGCTTTTCAGAGTAGCTAGGGCAGGGTTTTGGGGGAACAATGCAACTCCCTTCTTTTTAGGCTGTGTTTCAGTTGGTAAAATGTTTTTTGGGGGGCAGTTTTGATCACTTTGTTTTGGGTCACTTTGGAAATGAAGTGGAACTCTGGAGCCTCCTGGAATATGTCTGCATGTGTGGTTTGGGGAGGAGTTAGATTGAGGAAAGCTAGCTTCAGATCTCACCTCCAGGCCTCATGTGGCCTTGGGTAGCTACATCACTGGAACTCTTAGTTTCTGTCTGAGAGATGAAGATAAATTACCACATTTTTTTCTTGTGAGATTCAGGTAAACTGACACCATCTCAGTACATGACATAAGATAGTTATATTAGTAAGTTATATTAAGATCTGATTTCTGTTACCTGTATTTTAATGTGGGACTGTAGCTTTTCTCCTCTGCCCGTGCTAGTCATTGGTTTATACTGAGTTTTGAGCCTGTGTGTGGCAGGCATGGTTTCTTCTCTCTGCCCTGTTCTTGTGTAGACTATCAGCTCTGACATCATCTGTCAGGATCTGTACTTCCTTAGACAGTTTACTGCTTTATCTTTGTGTGCTGTTGCCTTCAGCTGTAAAATTAGAAGGCTCAGCATCTTAGCCACAGGACTGGCATGGGGATTGGGTGATGGTTGAGTGTGAAGCCCATGCTGGGCAAATAGTAAGGTCCATCTCACAGGAGCAAATGAAAGAGACAGAAGAGTGGCAGTTGCAGATGGAATGTTTTCAGATGCTTTGTTGATGTTTGAAGGTTCCCATATTTTACCATATGGTTGACACTCCTGCTCTGCCCTGTTTTGGGTCATGGGCTGTGAGGCCCATACAAGCAGGAGTCATTTACTTTCAGCGCCTCATCCCATTGTCAGTATTAACTACTCCGAAGACACTTTCTGGGCCTGTCCCTAGTGAGGGTCAAGACTGCTGCAAAGCATATCACCTTAACTATTTGGGTTCTTTCTTCTTCCTCAGTAAAATTCCAAAGTACAAGCCTTTAAGAAGTTAGGGGAAAAAAGATTGTCCCCTTTTATGGTACTTCAAGAAATTGTCAGTGCTAAAATCATTCTTTTAACCTTTCATTTTAATTTGACAATTTAGTGTCATTTAGGCCAGTATAGATACTGTATAAGATTTAAACGTTGGCCTTACAATTTATTTCAGACTTTTTAGTACTAGAATTTGCAGTGCTTATATACTGTTGTTTAAAAAGGTGACTGTATTATGTATCTTTGAGTTCTTGTCCTCACATGGGGAAAGAGCACTGCAGGACTCGGAGTCTGTTCTGACTCTCATCACCATCACTTATCACAGCCTGTGTGAAAGATACAAGTGTCTGTCTGTGTAATGGTTTCTTTCCTTCCTGCACTATTTTTTTCCCTGTAGTAGTAAATTGATATTTTAGATTTAAAAAATATTTTATTTATTATTATTATTTATTTTTTATGTGTATGCGTGTATTGCCTGCATGTAGGTAAGTACACCCGTGTTGTGCAGTGCACGGAGGACAGAAGAGGCCGTTGGATCCCCTGGAGCTGGAGTTACGGACAGTTGTTAGCTGCCATGTGGGTGCTGGGATTTGAACCTGGGTCTTCTGCAAGAACAGCCAGTGTTCTTAACCGCTGAGCCATCTCTCCAGCCCCTGATTTTTTTTCTTATTTAAAATCTTTTTCTCTTAAAGGAGCATAAATATTTCTTGAATGAGGAAAAATGATAACTATGTAGTTAGTAGAATATTTGAGTATAGAATACAATTTGAGAAACATAGGTCATTAACTTTCAGTTCCTTTCTTCACCATGAAGAATGATAAACTAATTTCAATTCCTATTTGTGTCTCTTAGCATTCTCCATCGGAGCCCTTTCTAGAGAAACCAGTGCCGGATATGACTCAGGTTAGTGGACCGAATGCTCAGCTAGTGAAGAGTGAAGATTACCTGCCACCAATAGAACAGCAGCCACAACAGAAAAAGAAGAAAAAGAAGAACAACCACATTGTTGCAGAGGATCCCAGTACAAGTTTTGGTAAAGATGACTTCCCTGGTGGGATTGATAACCAAGAACTAAGTAGGAACTCACTGGATGGAATCCAAGAAGAAAAAAAGAAAAAGAAAAGGCCGAAGGCAAAGAAAGATCCGAAGGAACTAAAAGAACCCAAGGAGAGAAGAGAGCCCAAGGAACCCAAGACCCCGAAAGCCCCGAAGATCCCCAGAGAGCCAAAGGAAAAGAAAGCAAAGACTGCCACGCCAAAACCCAAATCCAGCAAAAAGTCAAGGTAGGCTGAGGCTGGAGCCAGCAGCCACAAAGCGCCCTGTGCAGAGGCAAGGCCCCGCAGCAGTTGGCTGTTGTGTTGGGGGACTCGGAAGGGGCCTGTCTGTTTTTCCTTATAATTCATGCACATCTTTTATTGATAGTTAAACTGGAAAGTTAAGGTATATGCATTCCAAGTTTTAGGACTCAACTATTATGAGTTGTTGATTTAGAGTCTCTATTCGATTAAATTTTTTATTTAGCAGCCAGCTTCTTATTTTTTTATTTACTATTTTTATGTGTATGAATGTAGTGCTTGCGTGTAGGTAGGTACACCCATGTGCAGTGCCTGCGGAGGTCAGAAGAGACTGTTGGATCTCTTGGAACTGGAGTTACAAATGGTTGTTAGCCACCATGTGGGTGCTGGGAATCAAACCCACGTCCTCTGCAAAAGCAGTCAGAGCTCTTAACCACTAAGCCAGCCATCTGTCCAGCCCTGCCAGCTTCTTATTTTTAAAAACCACATCTTCATTGGCTCTGTGTAACTGTTAAGAAGGATTGCAGAAGAAAGCAAGCTCACTGTATGTCACTAAGCATTTCAGCTCTGTTTCCCAGAATTTGAAAGAAAATTAATTCTCCCTACTTGGCAGGGTAAGCCTTTCACAGCAGGTTGGAGTCCTTGTGGGCAGCATGGGAGAAATCCAGTAGCACTCATCCATTAGATATGGCTTCAAGAACAGTATGAATTTTAGGTAATCGGAAGGAGCCTCCTTTGCTCCACACTCCCCACTAATTCTCTGACCCCCCAGAAGGCATATTTATTCAGTAAGAAAATCTGAGAGAAGACATTGAAGACTAATTTTTTTCATTTGTTCTGAACATTTCTAACAACTGTTCTGAACCAGTTCCAAACATCTGAATCTGTTTTTCAGAATATGGCTCATGTTAGAAAATATAGTTTCCAGATGGAACTATGGCCAGACTTGGTTAATCTGCCTGTTTGCATACTCTGATAGAAAACATGCTCTACCCCCTGCCCCCATGTGCGTGTGTAAACATGTGTGTGCACACATACTCAATTGTGCAATTGCCTCGAACTTTTAGAGTTGGCTACTACAACCCTTTAGCTAGTAGGCTGTGCGGTGTACATGTGCAGGCATCCTAACACATAGAGGGATTAGGTCTGTGACAAAAAAGTGAAAGCACAAACTTTTTCAGCATCCTGCTGGAAATAACTGAATAACGCAAATACATAGCTCTGTTGTAAGTTGACAGTTTGAATCATAGTCATTTAATTGGGGGGGGGCATAAATGGCCTTTTATGGTGTCCAAACATTGAATTATATTCAATAACTCAAACTTAACTGATAAGTTTGTATTTACTATTGAGTTTTAATTCTTCAGTATCCTAGTCTCTTTATTGGAAGCATTTTTTTCTCTTTATGAATATTTTTCTAAGCTCCACAACTCATTACAAATCTTTTTCCATTTATTTAAGACAAATTGTATTGTGCTTATTTGTAGGTAGGTATTGTTTTAAGTGTTGGGAATATTATGGTAAGATGCAGTTAAAATTTTCAGTCTGACATTATGAAGTAGTTTTTAAAATAGATAATTGCCTAAATCTAAATACTAGTGCATTTGGTTTGAAGAAGCACATACTTAGATCTCTCAAAGACAAATCAACTCAAAATCTCATTTTGTTTTTTTGTTTTTTTGTTTTTTTCCTTAAAATATAGGGGATTGTGTTCTAAAGTGACTTTCTAGAGTTTGGAAGATACATCACCAATATTAATTTTAGCATCAAGATATATCTGGGTTTAATTTTCATCTTTTTAAAAAAATTTTTACAAAAACTTTACTGAGAATTTCATACATACATATAAAGTGTTTTGACCAAATCCTTGCCCACTCCCTCCCCTCCAACATTCTCCCACTCTGAAAAGGTAACCCTAAAATCTTTTAAGGATTAGATACAAGCTCCCAAATACTTTTGACATTTTTGGCCTTGGAACAGAGTATGTTGCTAACAGGCCCAAGGACATTTTGACTTCTAGCCAAGAAACTGGCTACATTTCTTTGGGGTCTTTTTATCCTAACTGCCTAGCCAATTCCTACCTCCTTTTCTTATCACACCATCCTCTGAAGG